AGTCATTGCAATAATCTAATCGTGAGGTGATTAGGGCATGAGTGACTGTCCAAAGAGATTTTTTTTAATTGAGGAAAAGATACAACTAGTATACCAGATGAATCTATGGATACACCTGCCATCTTGCTTTTTGAGCGGTAGCTACAAGTACAGAGGAGACCTCCTGATTACACACGAGTTTTGACTGGGAAATGCAGATCCATCCAAACACAAAATGGTGATAATTTCAAACCAGGGGATCCAAACAGTCACATCTACTCAGTCTTGTTAGGATTGAGCAGAAATCTCTTTTGCTGTATGCAGACCCAAATAACTTCCAGACACGGGATCATTACATTGACAACTTCCCATGTACCACTCAGGGAACAGATATATAGATGCAAAGTTTTTCTTGTTTTGTAGAGTTTAAAATAACGATACTTTTATTTCCACCTTAAAATCCACTTCTTCAAGGTAATAATTTTTTTCTGTCCCTCCTTTCCCATATTCCTTAGTTCATTGGCAAATCATAAGGTTGAAGTCCAGTTCTCAAAATATTCTTCTGTTATATAATAAAAATAACTGTAAAAATTGCACCTCATCTTCATATTCCTTGGTCTAATAATGGAATATTATTCTTACATTCTTTATAAAGGGTGGCAAAACTCAATTTTTCTGCTTCATTAATTTTCAGATAGAATCAAGAACCAGTGATGAACTTAACAAAGTGTTAAGTATTTTTTTCAGAGCAGGATTCAATATATACCAGAACTATGAGGTAATTTATAAATTGACTTTCTCTCACAAATGAGACATATAATAGTAATACTATTAATTATTTCTACTGTTTAGAAATAGTAGATGTCAGAATCCAATTATATTTCATCTTTAATTATCAAACATAGAAACTCCCAATTCTGCCTTCTCTGGATTCTGCCATAAGAGGGAGAAAAGGGGGAGAGCAAAGGGGCTTTATGGCCCTCACTTCCTTCAGCACACTTCAAAGGACTGAATGTGTGTTTATTGTGGCCTCTAAGCTTTAACATATCAAAGAAGAGTAATGGCCTTTCATGTAGTTATCTGAAGTCTCCATCCAGACGGAAGAAGAAAGGGGATGGAATTGTGATACTTGAAAATATCACTGGAAGGGGGGTTGATTGGGTGGGACTACTGGGGAACCCCTTAAAACCTTGAATGGGAGAGCTTGAACCCCAAGTCCTGTCTAGCATGCCTGCAACCATTTTCTCTTAATAAAGGATTCCTGTTGGAAGAACTATTCCAAGAGTTCTGTCTTCTTAAGATGCAAAGTGGGGTGGGTCCTTACATTAGTCTTGCCATTTGGATTACAAGGGGGCCCTGCAGTCTTTATGCAATTAATCAATGACGTTCTAAGGGAGCACCTGTTTAAGGGGGTCCTTGTTTACTTGGCCGACATTCTTATCTTTACCGAAACAAAAGAAGAACACGTCAAACTTGTCAGAGCGGTTTTAAAGAAGCTGCGAGCCGCTCACCTATATGCAAAACTCTCAAAATGCGAATTCCACCAGGAAAGGATAGACTACCTAGGCTATCGCATATCCCCACAGGGCATTGAAATGGACCCAGAGAAGGTCAGAGCAGTATTAGAATGGGCACCACCCCGCACAAGAAAGCAACTACAAAGTTTCCTGGGCTTTGCAAATTTTTACCGCCAATTCATCCCCTCATTTGCACAGATAGCCTTGCCCCTCACTAACTTACTAAAAACGAAGGGAACATCCTCAGTAAAACCTAGCCAGCCACTAACATGGACAATGGAGTGCAAAGCAGCGTTTGAGAGACTAAAGAGACTTTTTTCTGCCGAACCAGTACTAAGGCACCCAGACATGGACAAACCCTTCATAATACAGGCAGATGCAAGTGATGTGGCAGTGGGGGCTGTGCTATTACAAGAAAATGATGATGCAGTATTGCAACCCTGTGCATATACATCCAAGAAACTCACGGAAACAGAACAGCGCTGGCCCGTATGGGAGAAGGAGGCTTATGGGATACGTTGGGCATTACTCACGTGGCGACAGTTCCTGGAAGGCAACAAAATCCCCTTCCAGGTATGGACTGATCACAAAAATTTAGAAGCCCTGAAAACTTCCAGGAAACTCAATCCCAAACAAGCCCGCTGGTCCCAGCATTTTCACCAATTCCAATTTAAGATCAAACATTTACCAGGAAGAAAGAACTTCCTGGCAGATGCACTATCTCGCATGCCCCAATATAACAGCGCACGAACCACAGACTCTAGACCAATAATGGCAGAATCACAACTGGCAGCGCCAGTAACCACAAGAACCCAAGCAAAAATAAAACCACAACTGGACAGCCAAACTGGGATTGAATTCAGAAAAAGTTTGGAAACAGATGATTGGTTCCAGAAAAACAAACATGTGTGCACAATGAGAGACGGATTGCCTTGGGTAGGGGAAAAGTTATATATACCCACAACTCAAAGACTAACTTTCATGCAACTTTGCCATGACACAAAATCAGCAGGGCATTTTGGATTTGTAAAAACTTTACACTTAATTAAACGGCAATTTTGGTGGCCATCAATAAAAACGGACATAGAAAGTTATGTTGCCAGCTGCCCAACCTGTGCATCAGCAAAGAGGTTGCAAGGGAAATCGCCAGGGCTGTTACAACCAGTGGCAAGTCCCTCAGCCCCCTGGAGGGAAATAGCCATGGATTTTATAGTGGAATTGCCTGAAAGCAATGGGAATACTGTTATCTGGTCAGTCACGGACCTATTTTCCAAACAGGTGCACTTTATCCCTTGCCAAAAAATTCCCACTGCAAAGGCCTTAGCAAAACTTTTCATCCAGCACATTTACAGATTGCACGGGGCACCCCAACGCATCATCTCTGATAGGGGAGTGCAATTTACGTCTGCATTTTGGAAGGAATGTTTATCCCTCTTAGGGACCACTCAGGGATTGACATCTAGCCACCACCCTCAAGGAGATGGACAAGCGGAACGGTGCCAGTCGGTACTTGAGCAATATTTGAGATGTTTTTTAAATTTCCAACAGAGTGATTGGACGGACTTACTTCCTTTTGCAGAAGTTGCCTACAATAATGCAGTCGACTCCAGCACAGGCTACACTCCTTTTCAAATAGCCAACGGCCAAAGTTTCAACCCTATGCCAGAGTTAACCCCAAAAGAACCAACGATCCCTTCACTGAAAGAATGGATGGAAAACCTACAAAACACCTGGCCAATAGTCAGAAAATCACTAGATGAAGCTAGGCGGGCATACAAAGCACAAGCCGATAAAAAAAAGGGTTGAGCCTACACCATTCATTATAGGAGAAATGGTGTACTTATCTACAAAATACCTAAAGTCCCTACAGCCCTGTAAAAAACTTGGACCAAAATATATAGGACCTTTTCCAATTAAAAGGATCATAAATCCAGTAACAGTAGAATTAGAATTACCAAAAAACCTCAGGCAAATACACCCAGTTTTTCATTGCAGCTTGCTGAAAAGAGAGCATCAGTCACCTCTACGGCCAAAAATCCCCCCCCCACCACCTCCAATCATGGTGGAGGGGGAACAACACTTCGAAATAAAAGAGATCCTTGACTCTATGAGATATCATGGAACAACTCAGTACCTAGTTGCCTGGAAACACCTCCCTGCCTCACAAAATGAGTGGGTCCATAAACGTCACGTCAGAGCTCCGAAGCTATTGAAGAAGTTTCACACAGAGTATCCTAACAAGCCTAACTAAATTCTTTACTTGGGTTTTCTTTCAGGTGGATCTCTCTTATTGTTAAGAGGGGCCGGATGTCAGAATCCAATTATATTTCATCTTTAATTATCAAACATAGAAACTCCCAATTCTGCCTTCTCTCGATTCTGCCATAAGAGGGAGAAAAGGGGGAGAGCAAAGGGGCTTTATGGCCCTCACTTCCTTCAGCACACTTCAAAGGACTGAATGTGTGTTTATTGTGGCCTCTAAGCGTTAAAATATCAAAGAAGAGTAATTGCCTTTCATGTAGTTATCTGAAGTCTCCATCCAGACGGAAGAAGAAAGGGGATGGAATTGTGATACTTGAAACTATCACTGGAAGGGGGGTTGATTGGGTGGGACTACTGGGAAACCCCTTAAAACCTTGAATGGGAGAGCTTGGACCCCAAGTCCTGTCTAGCATGCCTGCAACCATTTTCTCTTAATAAAGGATTCCTGTTGGAAGAACTATTCCAAGAGTTCTGTCTTCTTAAGATGCAAAGTGGGGTGGGTCCTTACAGTATCCTTGTGGGCTTTCTAATATTCTGGATGGAAAATACATTTAGAAGTCTGAAGTAACATTATGGGCTCTATTACAGAAGATTGCCAACATAGTAAGATCAAGTATAATGTATACTTTATATCAGTGTTTCTCAAGCTTGACAATTTTAAGGCATGTGGACTTCAACTCCCAGAATGCCACAGCCAGCAATGCTGGCTGTGGAATTCTGGGAGTTGAAGTCCACATGCCTTAGAATTGTCAAGGTTGAGAAACACTGCTTTATAGGAAACAAATGGTGATAAAAAAAGATGTAAGTTGACCAAGAACTAACCCTATACAAATGCTTTTTTTGTCAAAGATAAATTAAAGCTTAAAGAGATGAAATTAGCTATTTTATAAAAAGTATTACTTGTGATGTTAAAATGTGAGTATTAATATTAGAATGGTAAAATAGGATCTGAATTTCAAAAGGTAAATGCTTCACAGATTCATGAGATAGCATTTATGGGCAATAAATGTGCCCATAAATGTTCCAAGTTTCATACTGTCTATCATAATCATATCAGTAATGAAATACAGCCTGTATAATTATAGGATTTTTAAACTGCATACTGCACCTATGGCAGTATGCAATGAATCCTCTATTCTCCTTATTAGTCTAACTGTTTTACAGATAAAGCTAAAAGAGAACTTTTAAATAATTAAACATAAACAAATTAGCTAAAGTATAATATAAGCATAGTACTTTTACCTGATATTTGTTTTAGGAGAGCTCTTTTATGTCCATTAACAGCAGCAGCATGAACATGTGATGCTAATGAGGAACCACTGAATAGCCATGTTTCAGAAACATTCATACTTCTGAAAAATTAAAAAATGCATAGTTGCAGTGAAGATTTTAGTAATTTTGCATAATTAAAACTAATTTATTTTGGTGAAAATAATCTCTGAAGTACTTTTATTTTGATAGGATGGTGCTTACAAGTTTTGGATTATGTATAAATAATGAACTAAAATGCTATCTATTTTCATGCAAGTTCTAAAACAAGATTTAAAAAATCCCATTAAACAAATGAGTCAAAAACATTGGACTCGCTATCTTAATGTTGAATTTAGTAACAGCAGCAAGATTATTGGTGGGTCAATATTGGAAGAAGGACTCTCTGCCTTCTTTAGAAGAATGGGTAGTTAAGGTTTCTAATTTAGCAGAAATGGCTAAAATTTCTGCTTATTTAAAGGACCATTCACAAGACAGAGATGTTATTGTATGGAGAAGATGGATAGAATATGTTCAGAAGAAATATGGAACTACAAATTTTCATTTATTTTATGAGTAATGGATTTGTTTATAAAATTATGATGTTAAAGTTTGAAGAGAGTTAAGGGTTAGTATGATTTTGGTTATTGTATAATTAGTAAACTTAAATAGATTATGTTTAATATGTTTGTATAACCCTGTACTTGGCTCTGGGAAGTTGGGGTGGGAGGGGGTGGGGGGAGGGGGGTGGGGGGAGGATGGGTTGAAGCTTAAGTTGCTCAGATAAGTAGAAATAGTTTTATTGTATATAATATTGATGTTTTAATTTGGAGAGAGGAATTGCTCGGGCATTTCCCCTGGACTGCATCCGGAGTGAGAAGATAGGAGGAAGGGGAGAAGTAAGTAGGAGAAAAAACAAAACAAAACATTGGACTTGCTCATTTATTGAAGAAGAAAAATAATCCAAAGCTACATATTTGTGCATATTTGGAAAAAAGCAAGTCACTCTCTAAGACAGTGGTTCTCAATCTTTTTAATGCCGCGACCCCCAACCGGTCGTAAGTCGAGGACTACTCAACCGGTCATAAGTCGAGGACTACTCAACTGGTACAGCACCGTTTGCAGAATGGGACTTTTGGCGGGCTCAGCAGGGCAGAGACAGCCTGGACAATTCCTATTGGCTTTGGAAAGCCAATAGAATTAGAATCTATTCAAGAGAGTCTATTCTATTGGCTTTCAAAAGCCAATAGAATAAAAGGGAGTAGCATAGCTAAAGAAAAGGGGGGAAAAAATGGCGGACTGCGTTGTTTGGCAACCCCTGTGAAATGGTCGTTCGACCCCAAATGGGGTCCCGACCCACAGGTTGAGAACCACTGCTCTAAGATTATCAGTTCATTTGAAGGAGAAATTTTGTAATGTGTTTCAGTCAATGGGATGAAAATCAAGTGTGAGTGGGGAAGATCCTGTCTTATTTAAAAAGCATTACTATCAAAGTCTGAACTTGTACAAATGTATATTAACTTGAACAAAGAATATTTCTTTAGTTGGAAAAGATTACAACATTATTTTTAAAGAGTTTGAACTCCATCATTGTCAGACAGATTGTGTACCTGTAAAGGTAATTTAACACCATTGCCCTCCTGAGGATCACGCCAAAAGTAAGGTAATAATTCAGTAGTCACAAATACTCAGGATAATGTCTAAGGAACTAAAAACTTCTTTTGTATTGGTGAATGATGAATGATAGTGTTCATTCACATACATATATATGTGTAATACACATTGAAGTATGTAGAGAAATATATTTATTAGTAAGCTCAATGTAGTGTGCTTTCCATTGTTAAGAAGGATAGAACGTTGAATCTAGTAAAAAAGAACATATTTCTTGCGTTACTGGACATTTATTTCTTGAACCGGACTGATTCACAGGACCAGCAACCAGGTGGAGTCTAAGACAACATGACTGACTGACTAGAAATCAAGCAATGGAAACAATCAGATGATCTGTACAAATACAGAAATTCTGAGTTCCTTTTAAGATTCAAGAAGGCAGGGAGCAAAAGGTCTATAAAATCTCTTATTTATAGGCAAACAGAAGGAGAGGCTTCAACTATTTGGGCTAGATTTCCAGAGCTCAATTTTTCCACTCACAAATATAACTACGTTTCCACATATTCCAGTAGAGTAATCTAGTGATTTACTTTCTACAGATTGCATATGATAGGAAAATATTAAGCAATCACTAATGTGATATCTAAATACATTGAATCATTTATTATTCTTCTCATTTTAAAAAATCTATATTAATTTGCAACTAAATTAGTTAAATAGTCATTTAACAAGTCTTCAAGATTCTTATTTTGTATAGAAAACAAAATTTACTAATGGCATGTCTTTTTTTTGTCTCCACATGTAGCTCCTCCTGGGGCCCTTAGCCTCCAAAAGCTTGTTTACAACAGCAATGACTTACTGAATCTTAATCAAACCTATTTCATGAATCACAAAAGGTGACAAGCAACAGGGAGAAAGCAGAATTATTTAACTCATTTTTTGCATCTGTCTTTACACAAAGGGAAAAAACAGCCCAACTACCAAAAATAGTGCCATAAAAAACAGAGTAGAAATTCAAGTTAAGATAGGCAAGAAAACGGTAAGTGAGCACCTGTACAGCCTAGATGAGTTCATATCACCAGGACCAGATGGATTACACCCCAGGGTTCTTAAGGAACTGGCAGATGTGATCTCAAAACCATTGAACTATATTTTTCAAAGATCCTGGAGCACTGGAGAACTACCGGAAGACTGGAAAAGAGCTGATGTAGTTCCCATCTTCAAAAAAGGAAAAAAAATGGACCCAGGAAATTACAGACCTATCAGCCTGACCTCAATACCTGGAAGATTCTGGAAAAGATAATCAAACAACAAATCAGCGAACACCTAGAGGCAAACAAAGTCATTACTAAAAGCCAACATGGGTTTGTCAAAAACAGATCATGCCAGAGAAATCTTATTGCATTCTTTGACCAAGTGACAAAATTAGTGGATCAGAGGAATGCTGTGGATGTAATTTACTTAGACTTCAGTAAGGCATTTGATTAAGTAGATCACAACCTACTACTAGATAAGATAGAAAAATGTGGGTTAGACAGTATCACCATCAGATGGATTCGTAGTTGGCTGATGTGTGGTCCTAATGGAACTGCATCTACATGGAGAGAAGTGTATAGTGGGCTCTGCTCTAGGCCCAGTGCTGTTCAACATCTTCATCAACGATTTGAAAAAGATAAAAGATAAAGAGACTGGACAGCCATTTGTCTGAAATGGTGTAGGGTTTCCTGCCTGAGCAGCGGGTTGGACTCGATGACCTCCAAGGTCCCTTCCAACTTTATTATTATTATTACTTATAATAATAATAAATACATGTCTGCTCACCATACAAGCCTATTTAAAACATGGTGGCTGGCACAGCAGCTATAGAAAAAATAATACGAGGAATAAGAGATAAATTCAATACTGATACAATATGCCCTTAATTTCCAGAATAAATCTAATATTAAGATACATAATTTCATCTTTGCTAACATCAATTAAAACAGGTCTTACAATGACAAAATTGAGTGCATTTGTAATAGAAATAAAAATTTTGAAGTTGATTATATACAAAGAAAGAATGATAATATAACTCATATCCCCAATGCTGAGTGTTTTCAATCAAAATAGGCCTCTGAATATAAGAAAATGGGTGTTTACATCCTCCTCCTTTATACAGTTCATTTGCCTCCTGGTTATTATTTTCTAGTGACACTAGTAAAGCGGGTACAGTATTTTCTACGTCGCATAAGAAAAGCACATCTTCCTTCCTCTGTCCTTACCACTTTCTACAGAGGGATGATCCAGAGCATCTCATCATACAGCATCACAGTCTAGTTTGGAAGCATCACTGCTTCAAACAGGAAGGCAGTGCAGAGAGTGGTGAGGATGGCTGAAAAGATCATTGGCAGTTCCCTCCTTTCCATCCAGGACATAGCACATAAGCATTGCTTGAGCAGGATCTGTAAGGTTGCCTGGGACATTACACATCCTCTTCACCGCCTGTTTTCCTTGTTATCTTCTGGGAGGAGGCTCCATGGTATCCAAAGCAGAAATCCAGATTCAGTCATAGTTTTGTTCCATACAGCATTAACCTTGTGAACTCTCAAGCTTCCTCCTTCCATTATGTATTCAAGATGGACAGTGACTAATATTTATATGTTACTTATATATAAGGGTGTAGGTCTATACTATATATATAGTATGTTTAAATATGTGTTATATATATATATGTACATTTAGAGCAACTAAATTTCATTTTTAATGTGTGCCATTGTGTCCACAGTAAAAAATGACAATAAAGATTATCTATTTATCTTAGTACTATTCTCCTCGTTTTACAAAAGATAGAGGATTTAAAGGTATTCTTTGTCAGCTGAAAGAATAATCCCACCCTCTTCGTTATCCCAAGCATCAAGAAACTTAAAAACAAACTTACCTAGCAATGTTTTCACGAGTTAAAATTGTAAACTTCCTCCCGCAAAATTACTTCCGTCGGTGGCCACAGAGGGTACTTCTCCGAATATAAACCAATCGCTTCAGAAGAAAACTACAAAACTACATTACCCAGCGTCCCTCACGGCTGCACTTCAAACTCGGAAGTTATATATGGTTCTACTTGGTGGAAGTGCAAGTGAGGTCTGTTTTCGCCTTCGTCTGTTGGTAGGACTTGCTGCTGTGCGAATTTTTTCGGAGCCCGTCGGAAGAGATTTCATAGTTTCTCTGTTTCTCTCCCTGTCTCGAAGCGTAGCCATCCTCGACCATGAGAATCGCCGCCATCTTTCCCGAGCCGGACTGTTGCCTTCTTGTTTTTCTGGTGAGCTAAGGGGGAAGAGTAGCTAAGATTGATTATCTGGTTGCCTGTTTCAATCGTGGGGGCCCATAGAAAAATGAATAACTGATATTTGCGTGGTGGGCGAAAGAGAGTACATAGGCATATTTGCTCCTTGTTCCCATAAATTTCTCCCCAGGAGAGAAACCGGTACCGCGGGAACCCAGCAGGGCGGGTTTGTGCCATGCTGGTGTGGCTCTATCTGATAGGCTGCGAACTTTTCGGACCCGGAATTTCTAGCCGGCGACTGGGCGGGGTCCGAATAGGTCGGGGCAGTGGTTGATACAATACATAGCAGGATATCTGGTTGTCGGGACTGTGTTGCATCCTACTTATTTCCTTAAAAGGCGTACAATATTTGCTTGTTCAAATGGGACTTTTCCTGTTGAATATGTGTAGGACTTTCAGAAGATCATCTTCGTGGCGACTTTGATTTAAAACATATTAATACATAAAAAAATACCAACCTGTTTCTCGCTTCCTGAGTTTTGAACCACTTTCATATCCTTTGGCTAGAAATGGCCATCCGATGTAGGACTCAATTTTTTAAAGTATGTGATCAAATAATTGTTATATATTACCTGCTGTGTTAAATTTAATAAATATCCGGATGTATAAAAATATATTGAACACATTAACTGCAGGTTGATAGTGATGTAGGATGGATTTTAAATCAATTATCAATCTAGAGTTCAAAATAAAATTTGCTTCCTACTATTTCTTTTCTGCCAGAGTGCCCTTCAACAAAAAAGTGAAAGTTCTTCTGGAAGTTTTAACATGCCCTTCACTTGTATTGAGAAAAGTCTCATTCTCACTAATACTGATGATACTAAGAAAGCACCAAAGACTCCACACAATCTCAGTGGTTGGCCGTTTAACATCCCTTTCTATTTCATATAATGAAACTATCTTATTACTTGCTTTAAATACAAAATATCTTAAACTAATGCTACTGATAAGATAATGACATACTTTTAGATGTGTTTAATGTTTCAGTCAAATAAAGGGATAGTTTTGATTTATTCATAGAATATAAGATGATCTTTAACACTGCTACTTGGAAGATTATTTCATATATATTTGAGTTGGTGTTGACTCCTGATAACTGGCTGAACAAGCCTTTGCAATTTTCTTAGCAAAATTTTGGAAATTGTTAGAGAATTCCATACTTCATCTTTTAGGGCAGAGGTCCCCAACCTTTTGGGCACCAGGGACTGGTTCCATGGAGAAAGGTTTTTCCACAGACCGGAGAGTGCATCGTTTTATGTGCTGCCTGCATCCCATGGATGGGCTTCGCTTGTTTGTGCAGACCAGTTGCTGGCACACAAATATTGAATATAACAGGCCTTCTAGCAAATTTTGTTAATCCAAATAAACTATAAATCCTTTTGTTGTTTCTTTCAATGAGTGCTGACTCCTGGTGACTGCTTGAACAAGTTCTTTCAGTTTTCTTGATAAGATTTCAAAAGTGGTCTGCCATTGCCTGTGTTCCATGACTGAGAGAGAGAGAATGACTGGCCTAAAGTCACCCAGGTGGCTTTTTGCCTATGGCAGGACTAGAGCTTGTAGTCTTCTGGTTTCTAGCCTAGAGCCTTAACTACTGCATCATACAGTAACATAATTTAAAATTTTGTTTTAAATATATAAACATACCTTAATTTCATTGAACAGAATTCACTGAATTCACACTAATTTCTGGGATTTGTAGAAATTAAGATTGAATATTATAAAGCCAATGCATCAGACACATAGCCACACAGCTATTCATTGGACAGTGAATTGACTGTTTTTGTTTGACTAGTTTAGAAAGGATGGTGTAGGTCATAGATTTTTCATGGATTTCATATGCATTTTGAGAAATGCTTGAGTGAAAGTGTCTCTCTTGATTTTTCTTCTGTTATGATCTATTGCAGAAAAGATACAATCTTTCTCTGAAATTGTGTTTATAATGAAGACAATGAAGCAGACTAAAGTAACGCTTGTATGTCTGTAAGTCATGGTAATTAATATTTAACTTCTAGTAGCTGGGCCATTTTCTCTTACCTGGTACTTCTGCATAAATCCAAGCCTAGCTGCTAAGGTCCTTTACCTTGGATAGTTTTTAGGGTTAAAGTCAAAATCTTCTCCAACAAGATGGATGGTGTAAAGAGTTTTAGAGCTAAAAACCAAATGCACATATCTCTATGATATCATCGAGTACTCAGAAAAGACCAGCTTCAGATTCCATACTAGTGGAATCTGATAACTGATAACTATCTGATTCCCTGATAGCTGCATTTAATTACCTGTAATTTCCTTACAAAGAAAACTTTAGGGAAGTTAAAACAGAACTATTCTTGCAGGCATTCCATTATCTTAAACTTAAAATCTTAAAAGTAGATATGTTCTGCTTCAACATATCCAGTGAAAGAAAGCCTGATCTCCCCCTGGGTATTTGTCTGGATATGTATAATTCTTATTGTTCAGAAGTTGTTTCAAATTCCAATAGAACCTACCATTCTAACACTGAATCCAACATGCATATCCTATGTTCAGATATTTAACAGAATAACAGAATTGGAAGGGAGCTTGGAGTTCTTCTAGTCCAGTGGTTGGCAACTTTAAACATTCAAAGAGCCACTTGGACCCATTTCTCACAGAAAATAAAACATTGGGAACCACAAAACCCTTTTGATATCTAAAATGAAGATAACACTGCATATATTCTTTTTTACCTTTATGCTATGTATAAAAAAAACTTAGTGTGTTGCATTTATGAACTGCTACAAAAAAAAACAAATTTTTATGCCAGAGAAAGAGGGGGAAAAAAACCTTTCTCCTTCATCCCAACAGGTGAAAACAATTTTAGTAGCTTATCTACCATTTTTAAACACAGCATAATTATCCCCATACCTCATCTCTTAATTAAAAAAAATCAAAATATTTCATTAAACATTCTTTACTAAAAGTCCAGTAAGGACAACATATATTCATATTCTCTCTCTCCCTCCCTCCCTCCCTCTCTCTCTCTCCCTCTTTCTCTCTCTCTCTGTCCCTCCGATCTTCTGCTCACCTGGCCAGCTGGCCTCACGCTGTTCTCCAACAAGCTGACACACATTCTTATTGGGCTGGCTCTCTCCTGCCCTTGGTCTGCCAATCCTCTTTCTCCACTAAGTAAGTAAAAGTGTGTGTGAGAGTGTGTGTGTGTGTGTGTGTGTGTGTGTGTGTGTGTATGAGAGAGAGAGAGAGAGAGAGAGAGCTGCTGCTTTCTGCTTCCTGCAGAGAAGCAGCAAGGGCAGGGAGCCTGCCCAGAGAACAGTGTGAGGCCAGCTGGCCAGGTGAGCAGAAGATCGGAGAGAGAGAGAGAGCACAAGTGCTTCTCTGTCTCTCTCTCTGCAAATGGCAGAGGAGGATTGGGAGCCACAGTAGAAGGCTGAAAGAGCCACATGTGGCTCCAGAGCCTCAGGTTGCCGACCTGTGTTCTAGTCCCATACTGTTGTGAGTCCGTGCCAGCCAGTGGATCCGGCAGCTGAGTCCGGGGAATCAGAGGAGGAGGAGGAAGAGGGGTTTGGAGAGCCATCAAAGTCAGAGGCAGGCTCTGATGAGTTTCAAGACTCACAATCTGATGAAGAGCCTGGCCCCTCCAATCGTGGTCAGGATGAGACACAGCTGTGTGGGGAAGATGAGTTAGACTCTGAGGACTCACAGCTGGAAGTCATTAGAGATGCTTGTAAAAGAAGGCAGTTAACTAGAGCAGGTCAGAGGGAGTCAATACGGCAACTCCAAGGGAAGAGAAGAAGGTATTGAGAAGCCACGCCTTGCAGCTGCTTAATAAAAAGAGAAGATATGGGTTATACTGGTTGCTGAAGGCAACCGTTGCAAAGTACTTCATGGGATCATGTTCTGTTGGTATTGCTGGTGACTAATTCCTTGTTTTGCATTGTGTTTCATGTGGACAATTTCCTCCATTTGAATTGTGTTTTGTTGCTTTTGGACCATTTGGCAGGTTTGTTACCAATATTAAAAGGGGTTTTGTTTTCTTCTGAGTCTCCAGCCTATTTCTCAAAAGGGGTTTTGTCCTTGTACATTTAACGGCGATAGGCTGGGACAGAACACATGCCCTGTTCAAGCAGGAAACCCTGATATACCATTTCAGATAGAGTTGTCCAATCACTTCTTAAACACCTCCACTATTGGAACACTCGCAGTGACCAGAGGCAAGTGTTCCACTGATTATTATTCTAAGTGCCAGGAGATTTCTTCTTGATTCTAGGTTAGTTCTCTTCGTAACTTTGAATGGTCACTAAGTGAACTATTGTAAGTCGAAGACTATCTGTACTAGTATTTCCTCCCAGTCTTGAAAGATTAACATTCCCATCAGAATGTTTAAATTTCTAGTCACCCTAATCAACTTCATTGTTCTTTTCTAAACCTTATCCAATTTGAATTGTGTAATCCACACAATTGGACACAGTACTTGAAGTGAGAGAGCCAGTTCGGTGTAGTGGTTAAGGCATAAGGCTAGAAACCAGGAAACCCAGCAATTTTATCCAAGCTGGATAATTTTGGGCTAGTTACTCTTTCTAGCCTTAGGAAGAATGCAGCAGCAAACGACTTCCAACCCCCCCCCCAAAAAAAAAACAACCTTGCAAAAAAACTGCATGGACTGTCTCCAGGAGTCAGTAATAATTCAAAGGCAAACATATGCACACATACACATATACTATGAGGTATCTGGCCAATGTAGAATAAAGTGGAATAATTTTCAAAATTTTGAAACATGTTTTTTATATTTGCCTATTTGGCTCTCATGTCATACTTTTGACTCACATTCTGTTTGCAAACCAATTACTATTCCAAATTATTTTTTACAATACTAATGCCAGACCAGGTATTCACTATTCCAATTTATTCCCCCCAAACTGGGTTCCACAGCTCTAAGTAGGGGATCAAGGTATTCAACTCCTGCCTCAGGAACTGCTCTTCCCATTTAACTTGCTAGATTACCAGTGTTTGCATGCACTCAGTAAAGGAAGTAATTGCCCTATCTTCCTTTGCCCCATGCACATGGACAACATCCAATTCTTTGCTTTCCTCCAAACAACAAAAAACATTTCTAACAAACTTAGCAGAGCAAGAGGAACATAGTGAGTCCCTCTTCAGCTTCCTTATTGCAGAAATGTATTTATATGTCCTCCCAAGAAGTCTGCTTTATAATTAGAGTGGTAACCTGTGCATTTATACTTACAAGCAAGTCCCATTGAGTTGAGTTGGAATTAATAAATTTACAGTTGCACTGCTCAACTACAGTATATGAATGTGTGTCTCAAATCCTTTCAGGATGAAAAACATTTGCAAAAGCAGGAAGGAGGAAGATGGATACCTAAATGGCTTTAGCCAGACAATTCACAATAGAAAAAGGCCCAATATGATTTCAGTATGCTAATCCGTCTATATTATACATCTGTCTATACTATTATGTTGCATAATAATATATATTACGAGAGCATCAAGATAATGAGAAGTGATAATACCATTTTATATTGCACTAGTGAGGCTACACTTGGAATATTGTATCCAGTTCTGGTCACTAGGATACAAAACAAACAAACAAACAAAAGGTTGTGATCCTGGAAAGTATCCAGAGAAGAGCAACAAAGATGATAAAGGTGATGTTAAATCATATGACAAATGGTTCAAGGAATTTTTCAATATGTCTAGCCTATTGAAGTGAAGAATTAGGAAGTACATGATAACAATCTTCCAGTAGTTTGTCTCAGAGAGGAGAGGATTGATTTATTCTCCAAAACATCAGAGGGACACAAGACTATCAACTCTTTAAGGAGGATTTTCTCTATAATTTTTCAACTTCACAATATAAACTGACATACTCATCCTAGATATACCCTCCTCAGTATAGGCATATTATTTTGATTTTTCTAATTAGGACTAATAGGCTTATAGGTAACATGAACAATTCCTTATATTTCAATATTTGTTTTTAACTAACAAGTTCTGTGACTTGAAAAAAAAATGCAAATTCCTGCTCTATACTATACTTTTCATGTACATTATAGGAATGAGGAAGTTTACATTGTCTTTACAGATAGTCCTTGATTTCTGATGACAATTGTGGCTGAAATTTCCATTGCAAAGCAAGGTGATTATAAAGTGCAACAGCATCGCTTAGCAATAGCAATGCCTACAGTCCCTATTGCTATCATTAACTGACTCCCACTATCCTTAGGCAAGGCAACTTCTTGCCGGTTTCCCACAATCAAAGTCAATGAGGAAGCTGGCAGGAAGTTGCAAGTTCCAGGCCTGCAAGTTGGTTGCTACCAGGTGGAGGAGTGAGTGAGGAGATGGACAGGGTTGAGGGTGAAGATGCATCACAAGGAGGCTCTGTGAGGATGAGAGGGTCAGGGAAGCCTGAAGGGTATGTGAGATGAACCATTCAGTTGGGGAGAGTATGAGGGAGTACACAGTAGGTGCTCATGGGATGGTAAAGGGATGAGAGGCACTGCACAGGTTGAGAGTGCACAAGAGACACCATGCAGGTAAGCTGGCACGAGTACAGAATTACAGATGGTCCTCAACTTAAAATCATTCATTTAATGACTGTTTGAAATTATAATGGCGCTGAAAAAAGTTACTTGTGACCATTCTCCAGCATGATGAGTGTAGAATCCACTGGATGGGTTATTTCAGCCTTCCTGCTCAGATAGACTAGGTCAGAACTTTGGCCACGCCTCCCTCAGGATGTGTCTTCCCAGTTTTGACTTAGTCTCGGGCTCAGTTGGGCGCAAAATTTTTGGCTCTCTTAGTCAGGATAGATTAATTGTCTTTTAATATTTTCTAATTGGGATTTATTAATTTCAAATTGTAATTGGCTTATTCAATTGGTATTTTATTTAAAATTGCAACTAAATTTCACGAATTGGCTAATTTTAAAACTGAAATTAATTTGGGGCCTTCTGGCTTCTAGCCACAGGCTCCTCTGCAGAGGGCTGCAGCAGCTTCTTGCTGGCTGAGGACTCAGCTCTCAGGCAGGGAATAGAGGGGCCGTAGATCAGCGGACCAGCTGAATTTCAGCAATCGGAGCCCCTAGGGACTCAAATGGTTCAGCGGCTTCCCTTTCGGCTTTGGAGACACGAGGCTTCCTTTTGGATCCCAAGATCGTGCCAGCAGAGACGGCGCGTTTAACTGCAAGTTTCGGATAAATATTTCATTAATTCTATCTGGCTCTGGGATCGGCTTCTGACTAGGGATTTGTTTTCCCTCAATTTCCCTTCCTTTCGAGTAATAGTCCTTCTTGGGAGGCTCTAAAAGAGGCGTGGTCGCCATCTTAACCGCGGGTGGGGCAGGCGGCCGCCATTTTGAAGCCAGCAGAAACAACGGCTGCCATTTTGGGTGTGGCCTGAGCGGTCGCCATTTTGATTGGGGCTTTTTGAACAAGGGAGCCATTTTGGATTGCCTCAGTGTGCCTCACACGGCATGGAGGCCTGATCCTTCTCTTGCGGGCCTGACTTGTCAGTCCTCATTTGGGGGAAGTGATACAGGGCTGATTTCAGACCCGTATTGTGGATCATTTGGATTCTACGTACTTATTGTGATTGCCCAATTCCGGTTGGTCCTTGGGGTGAGTTGAGTGAAGGTG